TTTTTATATTTATTGCTTAAGAATGAAATATCGAATTCAAAGTCGTTTTATTCAAAACTTTTATATAAGAGTGCCTAAAAATGTTACCTAGGAAATGTTGTAAATTTTATCTACTTTCACCCTGTCTTACTGAAAAGGAAAGGTTTCATATGAAATTTTTGAGTTATCTGACAAAAACCAAAAAAAATGTCCCGTAATTCATTGAAAATAAATTCTATTTATTGCTGATTAAGAAAAGAAAAAACAAATTAAAAGTCGTTTTATTCAAAACTTTTATTTCGGACTATATATAACTGTTTTTATAAAAAACTAGCCGACCCGACAGACTTCGTCCCGTCAAAAAAATTTTTAATGTGGCGGTGTTTTGTTCCTACTTTTTTTCTATTCTTTGCAAAAAATTATTCTCAACAGAACCGTCACCCTGGTTTTAATTCGGTGTGAATTAAAAATAATTAAATAATTAAATTTGTGCCGTTGCAAAGGCGCGGTTGGTCGATATTTCGCAACATTATAATTGCCGATCCAACCTTTAATTGAAGATTGTGAGGTGGCAATCCTAGCAAATCCAGCGATTTTCAAAACTCCGGTGGATCGTCTTGGCCGAATCAACTGATTCGCCTGTAATTTGTTCTTGAATTTTGAAATTTAATTCATTTACATCAATGTTTTTGGCTGCCAATATAGCTCGTTAGTTAATAGAAAGATATTTCTATGTTTTATATAAATATATTAAAAATTAGATTATCAAAAACTACACAAAATGTCATGACATAGATCATTGTTTTTTCTACAAATTTCGTTGCCTACTCGATTAAAAAAGAAAAGGGCTGTTTTTAGGGTTTTTCCGGCAATTATTCGATTTTTTCTCGCCGTAAGAACCATCCTTGGACATCAAGGAACATTTTAAAAAAAGAATTGGCCAAATTGGTCCAGGCGTTGTTGAGTTATGCGCTTACCAACACATTTTGCGATTCATTTTTATATATAAGATTAGTAAATTTTATTTTGTTTCACCCTGTCTAACTAACAAAGAGTGCTTTGCCTTTATATGAAACTTATGAGTTATTTAACAAAAGCTAAAAAATGTCCCAAATTTTATAATTGTTTCTAAATAATGAAGTGTTAAAGTCAAACTCTTCGTATGGGAATATACATTATGACATGGAAATTTTATATATTATATATATATATATATATATATATATATATATATATATTAGGGTGGCCCTTAAAATGGTCATTTTCGAATTTCCTTGCTCCCAGGGGCTCAAATGGTTCCAAATAGATAAAAAACAATTATCTGAAAGTTTTAGCTCTTAATAATAACGTTTAGATAGAGCGCAATTCAATAAAAGTTTTGTATGGAAATAGCATGGAAAAATTCTCAAAAATTGTATATATATATATATATATATATATATATATGTACATCTTTGAAATAAACTGTAGTAGAGTAGATCACGATTTAAAAATCCACCTCATTATCAAAAAATTTAGGTAAATTGTATTTTTTGGCAATACTATTTTAATGTAGAGGGCAATCTAAGCCATAGCCTCAAATCGGGTGAAATTGCTATTGCTAAATTTCGTTTTAGTTTTAGTATTTTTGATTTTGAGCGTTATTTTTTCATTATTTTAGCCTTTTATTATTTTCCAGGGCGATTCTTGGTACATAAAAAACAACCCATCCCCATACGAAGAAGATTCAATAACTCCCCATCGCAAAAGGCGCATACGAACCCCCAAATTTCGCGAATTGACAAGACAAAATTCCGGTTACATCGATCCAAATTTTGCATCTAAATCTTCCTACATCGATTCGAATACATACATTTCACCAGAATATTTGCAACCTCATACAACATCTCATATGGCAATTGGACCAGTTCCATCACCCATGAACATAAATAGAGAAGTTAAATTTACATCCAAATATTTGCATCCACCTGTGTATCAAATTAAAAATAATGGTTTGAGACAAGAAGGGACACAGAATTTATTGCAATATATGAGGAATAAAAGACATATGCCAGGTCAATCTGTGAGTACTGTTTTGCAAAATTTACCAGGAGATGCACCTCCTCCAATTTTGCACCATATCAGGAATTATCAACAAGCCCCAGATAACAGACAAGATTTAGTTTCTTATTCGGAAAATAAACAACCAAGAGTTGTGCAAATGACGGCTTGTCCTGTGATTTATTGTTATCCAACATCTGGTCCTCAAATTTTTGATAAACAAGTGGATTTGAGACAAATTCCCAACAATAACCAGATTGTGATGCCTGAAGAAAGAGTTATTTATGAAGTAGTCATACCTCCAAATGTTATGAATCGAACTGTTCCTGTACCTGTTAATTATTATAGACAAGGGTAAATTGGTAATAAATTACTCGAAAAATTTTAATATCAAATCAGAGTAGACATAGAACTTTCTGAAAAATGTTGAGGGAAACTTTTAAGGATTTTGTAATTTGTTATATGTTTGTCGCGGGTCAACGTATGTTTCTGGAAATATGTAATAAATTATAACTGTGAACCAAAAGTATACTGTAATAGACAATCAATAAAATACCAATTGTAGTATGTTTTATCTAGTTTCACCTTATCTAACTCAAAAAGATGTGCTTTCATATACAATTTGTGAGTTAATTGACAAAAACTGAAAAAGTGTCCGAAATTTTTTATATTTATTGCTAAGTAATGAAATATCAAATTCAAAGTCGTTTTATTCAAAACTTTTATATCGGAGTGTATATAACTGTAGGCATGGGATCGTAGTAAATTTTATCTATTTTTTCGTTATCTAACTAAAAACTTTTATATCGGACTGTGTATAACTATTTTTATAGAAATGTAGTAAATTATATCTAGTTTTTCCTTAACTAACTATAAAGGAGTACTTCCATATAAAATTTGTGAATTATTTGACAAAAACTGAGACTACAACTGAAGTGTGCAAAAGTTACTCAGCCTACAAATATCTTTTTACAGGATTTTCTGGTAATGTTCAAATATTAGCAAGTATTATCAGTTATCAAGTAAAAATTCATTGAATTAGGTGTACGTTTGTTTAAACAAATATTTATACAAGTTTCTGCTAACTTTTGTTTATGCAAAACTCGCCTGGAAGTTCTACAATACTAAATACATACAATGTCTATAAATTTTTATATATCTAGGCGTCAAATATCAGAAAAATAATAAAAAATATTGAATATAAATATGTTGTATTTTCTATACTTATATTTCAAATTTAAGCATTTGTTTTTAATATTGTAAAAGCTGTTTAAATTATTTTTTCAATTTTTGTCTGTCTCGAAAACGGCTTGACCGATTTTTATGGGACTTTATCTTATCTATAATTATATCTATGTTATGTAGGATATTTATTAATCGTGAAATTTAACAAAAAAAAGTTTATATTATAGACCCTTAGTTTTTGCATTTTATCTAATTTTCTCAACATTTATTTAAAAAATATTATTTTACCTTATCTCAGTTTATATTTGATATTTAATCATCGTGAACAAAAAAGTTAATCAGTTTATAGACTTTTGGTTTTGGCATTTTATCTAATTTTCTCTCAGTTCAAAATATTGCAATATACTTAAATGTGCCCGTATATCTTATATCTCATGCATTATTGTTTGAATATAATTTTTTTTTTGTTAATTTTGTCAATTTATATTTTCAATAATTAACTAGGAGTAACAATTTTACCAAAAGCTAATTGCACAATTTGCAACTCATATCTTTCAAACAATTTTTGTTTTTTTTATTTTTTTTGCGAAACGTCAAGTTTTATCAGGTTTCACCAAATGCCATTTTAAATTTCGAAACCATAAGCAGTTTTTGAGAAAAAGTTAACATAGGATCATACGAAAAGTGTCCATATTTATTTGCTAATGAGCCTGTCGTGATGTAGAGTTTAAGAACGATTTCAACCTCAACCAGCTCGATATCAAGCAGTATCAAAATTCCACTTGATCACAAATATAATCTCAGGTAAAAATTTGATATCAAACTGCTTGTTATGTTATTGGTTTTTGGTGATAACAGATTTAATATTCCCGAAGCACTTATTTCATTTTGGCAAATTATCTTGACTTATCTTTTATCTATAAGGACAACAAACCAGGACGCGAAAAAATAATTTCTTTGATTTGCTTAGTATTATCTTTATACAACTAACAGAGTAACCAAAAATAACTATTACTCTTTTAATGACCTTTTCAATAACATAAGTGACTTTTGTGCCAGGGAATAGGAACACGATATATTCTTACTTTTGATAGTTTTACACTACACACACAAATTCACAGTTATAACAAGTGATTTTGTAACTCCTCGTGAATTCATGGAATTAAACTACTATGTAGAAACATAACTAATATTCATACAAGAAAGATAAAAAATTGCATTGATTTGCTTATCTAGTATCTTCATATTACTAACAGGGTAACCAAAAATAACTGTTTTTCTTTTAATGACTTTTGCAATAATATAAGTGACTTTTGTGCCAGAGAATAGGAACATAATATTTTTTTAATTTTTTACAATTTTGACCGACATACAAAAAGTCACAGTCATAACAATTGATTTTGTGATACCTCGTGAATTTATGGAATTAAACTACTATGTAGAATCAAAACTAATATTCATACAAGAAAGATAAAAAATTGCATTGATTTGCTTAGTAGTATCTTCATATTACTAACAAGTGCCCAAAAATAGCCATTAACATTTTAATGACTTTTTCAATAACATAAGTGACTTTTGTGCCAGTAGACAGAAGCACAACATTTTTTACGTTTTGACAATTTTGACCGACATACGAAAAGTCACAGTCATAACAGTTGATTTTGTGACTCCCCGTGAAATCATGGAATTAAACTACTATGTAGAATCAAACTTAATATTTACACAAAATACGATTAATACAAATATATGCAATTGAGTTCATATAATTCCAATTAAATACATAATTTTTATTTTTTTTAAATCATAACTTTAAATTTGTTCTTCTGCACCTGAGGCATGATACAGGCGATCATAGTGGCTGCAATTTTACATTCGCCTCTAGATTCGACTTTTTTGTGTCGTTCATAACAATCATCGACAATGTTTTGCATTTTTTTGTATTCCATCGAAGTTGGCTTATGAAATGGTGCTATGGAGTCCATGTAGTGGTCCACCATAAATTTACCTTCGACCAACTAAAAAATATAAATGATAATTATCCAAGATAAGACTGTCTACTAGAGTTTGTCGGTTTTCAAAAACCGTTTTTTTGCTGAAAATTATGGAATTCGAAAACCGGTTTTTTAGTGAAAAAAGTCGGTTTTCACTGTATAAAGGGAAAATGACAAATATAGCCAAATGTAAAAGATAGATGAAAGCGTTTTGATTCTTGAAATCATATCGGTTCAATAGCATTTGATATCTTACCAGTCTGCAATGGTTCCTACAAAGGTTTTGTATATATTAATTTAAATTTTTATACCAGTGTATATATTAATTTAAATCAGTGCGACTTCTTCTTGAAGAAGTAACTTCCTCTACTCTAACTTCAAAAACAAGTTTTAAACCCTAGAAGTCACAAATTAAAGAACAAAAAACTTAGAATTATTATATCAGGCTTTAAAAACAATTAAGCATAATTTGGTCGCATGTATGAGAGTATTTTCTAATTCAGAAAATTTTGTTAGTAATCAAAGGACATGTCTAAGTAGCAATTTGATAGACGTTCTCAGTTTTTTGAAATCATATTTTATTAAACACAAAAGCAATTAGAGTGTTTAAAATTAATTAATTAAAATTGTTCAGAACAGACAATACCCGAATTTAGCTTAATTGTTTTTAAAACTAAAATTGATATTAATAAGTATGTATCAACATGTATCTAATTTTTTTTTAATTTAATGCATTTTTTTATTTAAAAATGTATTATTTTTATTTATTCGAAAGCTTTCCTTTGACTATCATAGAAATATTTTTATTCTTATATGTGAAAATGATGCATGAATAACGAATAATTATTTTCAACGTTATTTTCAAAGATAAACTATTATTTTTTAGTTCTACTAATTAAAATTAAAATAATTTTGTTTACTATTTATAAAATTGAACAATAAATAAATTCAGTCAAATACTGCTCTAAATAACACTAAATTTGCGGATGAATTACAGAATATTCGAGCAAAACTTTATTTTCTATGTTAAATTCGAAAACCGGTTGAAACCGGTTTTTTAGTAAAATTAAAATTCGAAAACCGGTTTTCTGAAATGTCGGTTTTTGTATAAACCCTACTGTCTACCAACATTTACTTAAATTTGGAACAATTTTTATAGAAATATGTAAATTGTAAATTGGGTATAATTTTTTTTAAGTATACTTACAAAACCAAATATTCTATAAGCGCATGCCACAAAACAATTATGATCTACAGCTTCTAGAACTTCTCCAAGACTTGTTTCAACTAAAAATATTAAAAAAATATCAATAATATAATAATTATACATTAAAATGACTATTAATTTGGTAATTAGTCTGTCGTGGTTGGGGCCTAAGAACGATTTCAACGTCGACCAGCTCGATATCAAACAGTATAAAAAAAAGTGCGCGTAAGGTTCACACGCGATTAAGTAAAACTTATTTGCTACTGTAGAAGATGGCATTTAAGTAAAAATAAATACATCATATAACAATTTTGAATAATGTTTATTAGTTATAATGTAACACTCGTGATGCACACATTTATTAGTGTCGATCATTATACACATTTATATGATGATAAATCATAAATTATATATTTATAATAGCATTAAAAATATGTATAATAATTATAAACAATAATGTAATTAAAGTCATACTTCAAATATAACATGATCGGTTTGTCATTGTAATTAGCATTCAGGACTTGAGCCTTCATTAGAGAAATTAAGAAATTGCTGATTAATAAATTCTACAATATTCGTTCACACAGTGGATTTTGTTGAACAACGCCTAAACAAATATTGTTTTCGCAACTTCACTCATCATGTAATAATTGTGTTAGAAGAACTTCATGTAATTAAAATTAACATACATTCATTGACTGCTTGTATTTTTTTTACTTTTTAGCTGGCTATATAATCTCATTCTTTGAACAGCTGTAATATCTGTCTTGTCTAAAAAATATTTTCTATTTTAATAACTTCAAAGATTTATAGAAACTACGAATAATATAGAAATAATTTCTAATCAATAAACTTACATTTAGTACACTGTCTAAATATTTAATTTGTTTTAATATTTTTAAGGAACAGGGTGAAATATTCTTCTGATTCAGGCATTTTTCATTAAATCAACATTTGTACTACGATGTGACTTCAAAATGTTTATTTATCTATGCCGATTTCCTTGTTGATATCGGTACGCATACAACGTTGATGCCGGTACGCATACAACGACAGATCTCTATTCACATACACAACAACTAATCACAATCGACCCGTATAGAAATGATCTTATCGAGAGCGAATTATGAACACTTCGGCCGTAACGGACTTCCGTTGCATTTGTACGGATTTACACCATAGACGCGCCTAAAGAAGTTTTGCTTCAGAATTCCAATTCCACTTGATATAGATTTCAGAAGTAATATCAAGTAAACTTGGAATTTAATATCATACTGCGATCTCGATAGTAGTTTAGTGGTTAAGGACGTGGGCTAACATAAACTAAGCCCAAGGTTTTCATTTTTAGCCCAGCTCGATATCAAGCAGTATAAAAATTCCTTTTGAAAATATAGATCTCAAATACAATCTCAGGTAAAAATTTAACATCATACTGTTTGTTATCTAGCTGGGCATCGATCTCAGGACTAGTTTAGTGGTTAAGGACGTAGACGAATACATACTAGTTAAAAGGATTCGAACCTCGACCAGCTCAATATCAAGCAGTATGAAAATTTCACTTGAGAAAATAGATCTCAAATATAATCTCAAGTAAAACTCTACTAGAATTTCGTATCGTACTACTTGGCATCGTGTTGGCCGAGGTTGGCATCGATCTCGGAATCGATTACGAAGGTTAAAATATTTTTCACATATTAATTTTATTAATACTTACTTATTTGTAATTCTTCTTTTTCAGAGTAGCATTCATGTTTAACATCTTTAAGTTTGTTGAAGATGTCGTTCGTTGACATAGAAGACTGAAATAGTTAATTATAGTACCTAATTAATTTTAATAATATTTTATTAAAAATAGGTTTTTCGTTGTTTTTATACAAACAATAAATTACCAACTTTTACTTAGAAATAAAATAAATAATATTTCATACTCGAAACAATTCTTGGTGCTCGTGAAATAAAATAAAGCATCAAGTTGCTATAAAATAAAATAGTATTTTTGTAGGATTTAGAAAAATACTCTATTCATAAATAAATTAGCCAATTAAAATAGCTAATAGCTAATAATAATAAATAATACATTATTAGCATAATTTTGCGCGACAATTTTTAAATTTTTAAATCCTAAAAAATATTGTTTTTACCCCAAAAACGCCAGTTTGTGCAGCTACTACAAATATAACTAGTACTACTTTTCCATGCATTTTATAACTTTTGTTTTTTTTATTTTCTAAACAATTTATATTCAAATTTTTACAACTTATTATTAAACGAAAAAAATCCTTTTAGTTCTTCAAATTGTTGCATTTTCACTAAACATGATAAAATTTTTCAAAGTTTTTATTGCGTATTGTTTTTTGCACAATTAGAGCTTTTATGACAAGAAAAATTGTAACATTATATTCACGTTTAGTTTCGATTTTTTATGGCTTTGGTAATTGACAAGTTTTATTGTTGTAAATAATATAACATATTTTTGATCTAATTATTTTCCTAAGTTTACCAGTTTTTAGAATTATCAGAGTAAGTCATTTTGTTTCAAACTTTTAGTGGCAACCGTTATAAAAAAATACTTAATAAATTTAATAATAATAATAATGATTATCATTATTAACAATATTGCTGCCAGCAAGAAAAATATAATATGTTATATTATAATATAATATATGTAAAATTGTCTAACTTTTATATATCTATACGTTTAAGAGATTGCTTAACATTTTGGCGTACCTTAGAAAAAATGGATGTACGTGTGTGTGAATGTGTGTGCGCGTGTGTGTATCTATGTGCGGATACAAATTTTCGATTCAACGATTTTGTGAACACGGATTAATTGATTTGAATAATTCAAAAAACATTCGATTCATATTGATAAGGAGACATGCGTGCTTTTGGCGAAGGCACATCCAGCCGTTTTAAAGATACGGGGCAAAAAGTGTCAAGAACGGTAATTCAACGGAAAGTTCGATTTTAAATGTTTATTTTTATTGACAAAAAGAAGAATTGCACTTGGATAATTTTTTTTTTCCCAAAAATTGCGTAAATTTTTGGGAAGATAGGTCTAGTAGGTCCACTTTTTACAAAAATCTTCACAAAAATATTTTTTTTCAAAATTTTCGAACAATTCTAAAGCTGTTTTTGAAAAAAGAAACTTTTTTTTGAAATTTCAAAAACTTCAAAAATTTATTTTTTTCAAAATTTTCGAACACAAAAAAGTAACATTTTTTCAAAACCTTCTTAATCATCAATTTTTTTCAAAATTTACGAACAATTCTAAAGATTTTTATCAAAAAAATACAGTTTTTTTTTCAAAAATTTCAAAATCTTCAAAAAATTTATGTTTTTCGAATTTTTTTTTTCAATTTTAAAGCTGTTTCAAAGAAGTACCATTTTTCCAAAAAAAATTAAAATCTTCAAAAATTTATTTTTTTTTAAATTTCGAACAATTTTAAATCTTTTTTTGAAAAATTAACATTTTTCCCAAAAATTTTAAAATCTGAAAAAATTTTATTCAGTATTTTCGAACAATTCTAAAGCTTTTAAAAAATAATTATTTTTTCAAAAATTTTTTAATCTTCAAAAAATTTAGTTTTTACAAAATTTTCGAACAATTTTAAAGCGTTTTTCAAAAATTTCAAAATCTTCAAAAGTTTATTTTTATCAAAATTTTCGAACAATTCTAAAGCTGTTTTTCAAAAAAGTACCGTTTTTCTAGAAAATTCAAAATTTTCGAACAATTTTAAAGCTTTTTTTAAAAAAGTAACATTTTTCACAAAAATTTCTTAATTTTCAAAAAAATTATATAATAAATTCAGTATTTTTGAACAATTCTAAAGCTGTTTTTCAAAAAAGTATCATTTTTCCAAAAATTTCTTAATCCTGAAAAAAAAAATTATATTATTCAGTATTTTTGAACAATTTTAAAGCTGTTTATCATAAAAGTAAAAGTTTTAAAAATATTCTAAATCTTCAAAAATTTACTTTTTCTAAAATTTTCGAACAATTTTAAAGCCTTTGCTTCAAAAAAGTATAATTTTTCCCAAAAATTTCAAAAACCTCAAAAATTTACTTTGTCCAAAATTTTCGAACAATTTAAATCTGTTTTAACAATTTTAATTTTTGGAACTTGGGCCTTGAGGCACCACTAGTTTCTCATTAAAACAAATGCAAGTGCTTTGAAATTCAATAAATTTATTAATCTGCTCTCGATGTATTCGATAATACAATAATGAAAATATTTAATTTATTTATGTATTTTTCTGTTTGTCATGATCGACAACACAATGCATAGTTCTTTCAGCAATAATGCAGGCATCGTCATTCTTCTCGTCCGTCATAACATCTTTTATACAATTCGCCAAAATGTCTTCCAATTGTGGATTTGGGTTGGAATCAGGTTTTTGTTGAGCATTGAAACCGGCGATCATTGCATCGAAGCTCAATTTACCATCCACGAACTAAAAAAACAAATAAAAACATTATTTTAACTCACTATTTACTAGAATAGTAAAACTTGACTTATAGAGCAAGACCCAATTTGACTTTGAGATATTATATTGTGAAAACTCGGGCTCGTCGGTTTTCAAAAACCGGTTTTAAAAACCGGTTTTTTGGCGACAATTATGGAATTCGAAAACCTGTTTTTAGTGAAAAAAATCGGTTTTCACTGTATAAATGAAAAATGACAAATATAGCCAAATATAAATAGTGCAGTAAACGGAGCGTTTTAGGTCTGAATTTTTTACTGTGCTCCGAATTGAATAAAATTTTGGAATTAGGTTCATCTAACCTTCAAGTTCAAAAGTGAAAACAATTCGGATTGCGCCATCACCCCCCGGGGGGATGACACCCCCTCTCAATTGTGTAATTATATTTTTTTTAAATAACGTCGGAAATCGATAGAAGAACTAATTATAAGAATAAAATGTCTTTTATAGTTTTTCAAAAAAACTAATACTTTTCAAGTTACTGGCCACCAAAGATTCATATATTTTTGGCGTTTTTCTTCGTTTTTTTGCAAATATCTTCTAAAGTATACATTTTAACGAAAATCATGTAATGAACAAAATAATGTCAATAAAAATCTTAATAAATCGGTATTAGATAAAAAGTTCTAGGAAAAATATTAAGCAAGATTTGAAAGAGCAAAGTCGTTTTTATTTTGTTCAAGATTTAATTGTTGTATTTAAAGCCATCTAGTGTCGAGGTTTTACATTTTATGAATTTCGGTAAAATTGGGTTTTATAGTGCTCAACATAAGCTTTAAAATGAGTGCTGTTACAAGTTTTTTGCGTGTAAAATGAGTGAGCTATCATGCAAATAAGAAGCATATACGAAGTTTTTTTCTTTTAAATCATATGGTTTAATGAGCGCCATTTCCACCAGAATTAAAGTAGTTCACATTCCATCTAGAAATCACTTCATTATAGACATCTTGATGGATTATAGCAGATTCACTACTTTAGTACAAACTATTTTAAGAAAATTCACGATTTTATAAAAACTTTTTTTTCCATTTTTTTTAAAAATCGATATTATTTTCATTATATCTCAAAAAGAATAAAAGATACGTATAAAAGCATATAGATAAAAATTAAAGGGATCTTTCTGGCTTATTTTTGTTTTTTATTATTATTCTTTCACACAAAAATTGACAGAGTTATGAATGTTTAAAAACTGCGCGGCCGCGCAAATTGGAAAAAAAAGTTTTTATAAAATCGTGAGTTTTCTGAAAATAGTTTGTACTAAAGAAGTGAATCTGCTAGAATCCATCAAGATGTCTATAATGAAGTGATTTCTAGATGGAATGTGAATTACTTTAATTCTGGTGGAAATGGCGCTCATTAAACCATATGATTTAAAAGAAAAAAACTTCGTATATGCTTCTTATTTTCATGATAGCTCACTCATTTTACACGCAAAAAACTTGTAACGGCATTTATTTGAAAGCTTATGTTGAGCACTATAAAACCCAATTTTACCGAAATTCATAAAATGTAAAACCTCGACACTAAAACCTAACTTTAAATACAACAATTAAATCTTGAACGAAATAAAAAACGACTTTGTTCTTTCAAATCTTGCTTAATATTTTTCCTAGAACACTTAATCTAATACCGATTTATTAAGATTTTTATTGACATTATTTTGTTCATTACATGATTTTCGTTAAAATGTACACTTTAGGAGATATTTGCAAAAAAAACGAAGAAAAACGCCAAAAATATATGAATCTTTAGTGGACAGTAACTTGAAAAGTATTAGTTTTTTTGAAAAACTATAGAAGACATTTTTTTCTTATAATTAGTTCTTCTATCGATTTCCGACGTTATTTTGAAAAAATGTAATTACACAATTGAGAGGTGGTGACATCCCCCCGGGGGGTGATGGCGCAACCCGAATTGTTTTCACTTTTGAACTTGAGGGTAAGATGAACCCAATTCCAAAATTTCAGTCAATTCGGAGCACAGTAAAAAAAATTCAGAGGTTATGCCCTTTTTTCCTCGAAAGCGTTTTGATTCTTGAAATCATATCGGTTCAATAGCATTTGATATCTTATCAGTCTATAAAGGTTTTGCATATATTTATTTAGATTTTTATACCAGTGTATATATTAATTTAAATCAGTGTGACTTACTCTTGAAGAAGTAACTTCCTCTACCCAAACTTAAAGAAAGAGTTTTTAGTCCTTGAAGCCACAAATAAAAGAACAAAAAACGTAGAATTATTATATCAGACTTTAAAAACAATTAAGCCTAATTCGGTCGCAAGTTTGAGAGTATTTTCTATTTCAGAAAATTTTGTGAGTAATCAAAGGACATGTCTAAGTAGCAATTTGATAGACGTTTTCAGTTTTTTGAAATCATATTTTATTAAACAAAAAAACAAATAGAGTGTTCAAAATTAATTAATTAAAATTGTTCGGAACAGACAATACCCGAGTTTAGCTTAATTGTTTTTAAAACTAAAAGTAATATTAATAAGTATGTATCAACATGTATCTATTTTCTTTTAATTTAATGCATTTTTTATTTAGAAATGTATTGTTTTTATTTATTCGAAAACTTTCCTTACACTGCCATAAAAATATTTTCATTCTCATATGTGAAAATGATGCATGAATAACGAATAATTCTTTTCAAAGTTATTTAATCAAGACAAACTATTATTTTTTTAGTTCTACTAATTAAAATTAAAAATCATTTTGTTTACTATCTATAAAATTGAACAATAAATAAATTCAGTCAAATACTGCTCTAAATTGCACTAAATGTTCGAGCAAATATTTATTTTCTATATAAAATTCGAAAACCGGTTTTTTAGTAAAATTAAAATTGTAGAACCGGTTTTCTGAAATGTCGGTTTTTGTATAAACTCTAGTGAAAACCAAACCAATTACACACTAACAAATATCACATGCCAAACAAACAACCGTCTGACTATATTCAGTATAACTCCCAGCTAATTCATCATTCTAGAAAAGTGTTTTTTAATGTTTTTCAAGAATTTGTCACCTGGTTCTTTTTACCCCATAGGCGGGATAAAATGGGACAGCCAGGGGACAAACAGGTCCAATGTTTTATTTTTAGTTTTAGAAGGATTTTACGACATAATATCTACATTATTCAATCAATGCAAAATATAAATTTCATGGGTATATTTTTTGCAGAGGTAACACTGTATATAACCTTGATCTTGTATCTTGTCATATATTCATCAGTGGAGTCGGAATAACTATTTTATTTAATTTATTTCTTGTAAAATGGCTTTTTTACATGAATTCATATTTTTATTTACTATTTTTTATTGATTACGGCTTTGCCAAGGTAAAGATTCAATTGGTTCTTTTTACCCCATCTACGTGTAAGCTTTTATAGAGATTATATAGAGAAAACTGTTGAATCTAACTTTTAATTACTTATTTATCTACTATTTTGTATTGCTTACACCTGTGCCAGGGTTAAGGTTTATTTGGTCCATTTTACCTCACCCAGGTGTAAACTTTATATAGGTTATATAATAAAAACTGTCGAATTTAAAATTAGTTCTACATCTTATAAAACAATTTAATAACGTTCACTTAAAAATTACAACAACGTCTCGTAAACTAAACAACAGTGCTCATAACCAAAAAACTAAAGAAAATACTTTTGGGGTAGTTATTTTCAAACATTTATTTTCTGATAGCAACGTCGTAAAAATCCAAGTAATGACTGGTTATACATCTTTTGCCCTCTACTTTCAAATATTGTCGTGAAAAAAATCTTAACTTATTTTTTTAGGTATCTGATGGTGGACTATTGTACTCTATGAGTTATTCTCATAAAATTACTTACATATCCCAATTTCTGGAAGACACAACCATGGAAACAGTACTTGTCTGGTTTGTTGTTAGTGACTGAAATTATTGAAAAATATATTAGATTTGAAAATAAAAAAATTAGTTGGAAGTGGCATTTTGCCTTAAGGCAAGTTGCACGAACTTTCCGATAGATATACTTAATAACTTATTCAATAAGAGCTGAGATTCTTCTATTTTTTAAGTAGAATGTTCAGCTGTTTATTTTTTATAGTCCAGTCATTATGTATAGCAAGTTCATCTCTGAATTCGAGATAAATACTTGTATATTGAATTTTAAAAGTTGTCTTAAAATCTACACCCTACCATATGTGGATTTTGAGAGGGGTTTTGAGACAATTTTAGGGTCTCAATAAACAAGTATTTACAGACTTACAATTCGGAATCTCGAATTCCGAGATTTTAACCTAATTTAAGCTTAAATGACCGGACTATTGAATATAATTTTTGCTTTCATTAAAAAATAATCAATTAGATTTCCAATTGATGGCTTTCAAAACATACTCATAAATATATAAATTAAATTAATATGTGCAACATATTTTATTTCATCAATTTCGTGTTTATTTCGTGAAATCAATCAACCGCAATCGTAATTCAACCGCTCATCATAGGCCTATAATATTTTAATATGTTATTTTAGAGTACGAGATTTTCGAACGGTTTTTGAATTTTTAAAATCGGTTGCAAATTTTAGGCTCAAACGTGAACGAAAATTTCTACACTTTTCTGCTATTTACAAAGAAACGGCTTGGCTGATCGTCGCGCGAAATTGATAAACGCTATTCCTCATCGAGATACATCGAATGGCGTTTAAATTTTTGAAATCGGTCCAGCTATTTTTGAGAAAACGTAGATTAACGGCAAAAAATCTGTTCACACACACACACACACACACATACTTTTTCCAAATTCGGTCTCATTCGATTCAGAATGGATTGAAATGTCGAAAACATAAAATCTGCGAATCGGATTTTTTGATGAAAACATAAACTTCTCCTTCGGGAAGTTAATAATGAATAAAACTTACTTATTTCTCCTAATTCTTTCACATTAACATTTTTTTCTTTGATGCATTGCATAATTACTGTATTCATTGTTTTGTCTGCGTTTGAGAACTTCTGAAATATCAAAAATAATAATATGAGTATTTATATTGTATTATCATACATACTATATTATATTTAAGTAAACAAACTAGTTTGTTACATATAATTTATTTAGTTTTAATTATTATATACAGCTGTTGTTTACTGAATAAAGAGTAGGACATTATTCAAAACTTCCATACGTTCAAATAAATTTTAAATTAATTTACTCAACTTTCAAACAAATTTTATTAACATTAAATTGAACTCATACCTGTAATATGTTATAATTAAATTTTTGTGTATCAATTTCCAACTTACCATATTAATGCAGACTAACAAAAACGCCAACACCCAAAACTTTTTACAAAAACCCATTTTCGTTAAATTTTTAATTATATCAACTCCAAATATTGATTTTATGAAATCATTAAATATTAATCATATGCGACTTAGGTTTATATATGCACACAAACATGTATAAATTTTTACTTTTATCAAATGTGATTTTTATTACAATTTGTTGTAACAATTTTATTTGTTTCGCCGATGAGTTTAATGTCACGGTTATTATTTTGTGATAAAAATATATATAAAAAATATATTTTTATATTGCATTGCATTCGATAGAAATTTATGATTGCAGATTTTTGCGTATAAAAATTGCATTATAAGATATAAGTCTGAGTCTCCAAATGTATTTTTTACTAATTTCTCAAACTTGAAAATTGATATCTCACCTTTACAGACCAATGTTATGGCAATTTCATGTTATAAAGAACTTTCCATACTAAATTTTGACAAAAGCCAGGTGGTTACTGTGCAATCAGGCATTTTTCTCAGTTTGTCAGATAGAATACATAACCTAGAAACCGCACAAATGTCAAAACAACGATGTTAGATAACAGGGTGTTTCTCACCCAGCTTCATAACACACGAGTGACGTTGCAGTTTACGTGTAAAACGCCTGAATGCACAGCAAATACATGACATTTTGACTGTATTCAATATGATTCAGTAGCATAATGTATGGAAGTTGGAGTGTCACATGAAGCCTAAATTTTATTCATTGTAATTTTTTGGAAATAATTTTTTCTTTCTAATGTTGAAACAATTTTTAAGCAAAATAAGCAAATAAATAATTTTTAATAAATAAGTAAGATGTTTTTTGTATAATTGCTATTTTTTGTATAATTGCCTTTGCCAAAAACTAATCACTCTTCATCCAATCATCATCGGATGCTCCGTTCTTTCAACAACTCAATTTCTATTTTCTGCATTTTTGCTCTTTATCTCCCAAACGGCTGGACTTGCCATTGCCAAAAACTAATCAGCACGTTTCCCTATCAATAGGAATCGAATGTTTTCTGAATCATTCAAATCGGTTGATCCGTGCGCCCGAAAACGTGGACGAAAAATCGTATCCACACATACGTTTTTTCTAAGATATACCAAAATGTTCAGAAACCTCTAAAACGTAATTATATGCAAAAAATGTCAATTTCGATTTTTCGACGATTAGTATAAGACATAAGTAATACTATGAGTTACCTTTCGGGAAGTTAACTAGCATTTTTCCATAAGGCAAGTTGCATTAACTACAATTGCTTATCGTAGGCCTATAATATTTTGCAACCTTCGAATTAATTGTCATACAAAGTTTTATCAAAATCGTTGATTTTTGTTTTCTTCGAAGAAACAGCGCAGCTTCTTAACCAGGAAACAGTTTGTAAATTTCCAAAATCGATTAGAAATTATCGACAAAATGTAAAAAAATTCACTTAATTCAGAATGACTTGAAACGTGGAAATTACAGAATATCTGATTTTTCTGACAAAAACAAACTTCTTTTTCGAGATAATAACAATATGAAAATGACAGTTTTTAGGCAAAAATTAAAAAGATTTTAGGCTTTTTAAGAATGTTTTTCATGGTTCTTTAAATTTTAAACAAATTCTCTTACATTTGTTATTACTAAAAATCGTACATTTTAAACAAATAAAAAAAAAATTGTAACGAAGGAAATGCATTATGCGTATCAGACTAGATCTATTGTCTGGGTATGTCGTACTCCATACCGCCTGGGTATAATGACTAAAACCTCCACTCACCTCTTGCTATGGTCCCCACAGAAACCGCAGTTAGGCATAGCTTTGTGGGGGGAGGATCTAGAATACTATAATTTTTGCTTTAAAATTATACATATCTTTTAATTACTCGTATTCGCTCGCACGTCTATTAGCACTTCTGTAGCAAATGTGTGTATGTATGTATGTGTGGATACAATTTTTCAACCTGTGGTGTATGGCATCGTGTCTTAAGGTTGCTAGAACTTCCCGTTCTGTAACAAAATGTTTGAGAAATATAAATTTTGAACAAAATTAAAAAAATGTCTTTTAGTATTGCGATAAAAATGCGTTTATGCATCTCAAACTAGTTCTTTTGTCCGGGTATGTCGGACACAACACCGGAAACTGTCGTTAGGCAGTACATCGTGGGGGGAAGATCTAGAATGCTATTATTTTTTAAATGTTGTATATTACGAATGACACTCTACATAAAGACTTAAAAATAAAAACTATTAATGAAGTAATAAAAGAAAGAAGCAAAAAATACCACGAAAAATTATCAGGTCACCCAAATAAATATATAAAAGAATTAAGTGAGAAATCACCTACTCAAATATTAAAAAAAGGACATACGATCTTAAATAAAATATCAAAAAATTAAAAGAGATATCTTTTAGGAGATAAACTATTTAAATGCATTTACACCCAGCATATTGTCTTAAAAATATATTATTTTGATCGGCAATAAATCTATGCAAAAAAATGTGTGAATGTGTGTGTATATATGTGTGGATACAATTTTTAAATAAACTTAAAACTTTACTTAATACTAATTATATGATTTCTGCAATAAAATACTAATATAGTTAATAGTCCAAAACAATTTTTATTAGCATCCATATATCCTTTCCATATATCCATATATTTTCTATCTATTTAAATTTGATTTGATTTGCTTCCATATGAAGATCTTGCATTTTTCTTCTAAAACATTTGCTTATTTGACCTCCAAGGGTGCATTCGTCTTTGGGTAACCCTTTGTTGATTTCTAGGCCACATTCATCGGAAATTTTGTTAACCACGTCTCTAACCCTTGGGTCAGGGGAATGGACCAAAAATTGTTTGACTTGATCTACTTGTAATTTACCTCTTTGTACCTGGAAAAATAAAACAAAAATTTAATTTGAATAGAACAATTTGTATAGAAACTTTTTCAATCACTACCCCTAAATATTTTTATCCAAATTGATATTTTCAAATTATTTTATTTTGCAGAATTATTCCATCGATACGTTATGATTTAATGTACGCACATAATATATGAATAATTTTAAGAAATTTTCATTGATTTTTTTTAATTGAAATTATTTACAACACACTTGATTCGACTTGTTGAATAGTGTGATGTATTAAGTTTCAATATATTATTAACTTCCCGTAGGGTAAGTTATTGTAATGGGCCGAAAATCGGAATTGAAAATTTTTACATTTCTCGACGTTTTGAAGGTTTCTGAACATTTTGGCATACCTCAGAAAAAATGGATGTGTGTGTGTGTGTGTGTGTGTGAGAGTGTGTATGTATGTATGGATACAAATTTTCGCCCACGTTTTCGGGCGTACGGATTAACCGATTTGAATGGTTCAAAAAACATTCGATTCCTATTGATAGGAATTCCTATGGATAGAAAGAGCTGATTAGTTTTTGGCAAAGGCAGGTCTAGCCGTTTCGAAGATAAGGAGCAAAGAGTGCAGAAAATAGAAATCGAATTTTTGAGAGAACGGAGTATCCGATTTGAATGATCTAAAAAACATTCAATTAGTAATGATTGGGAGAAGTGTTTATTAGTTTTTGGCAAAGGCAGGCCCAGCCATTTTGAAGATACGGAGCTAAATATGTAAAAAATGGCAATTTTTGAGAGAACTAAGCGTCCGATTTAAATGATTCAAAGAACTTTCTGCTTGTCTTAACGAAATAATTGATTTTGGAAAAAAAAATTTTGTTCCATTTTTTTTTTTTTTAGTTTTTTAGTTTTTTGTATATCGAAAATATTTCAGATTTTATTTTTAATTCTGACTATAGTACTAATATACTTTACAAATAATTTCAATTCTGCAATTCAATTTATATAATTCTTATAAATATTAGACAATGTTACAATATTTATAATAATCTATTTGAAAACATTCAGTATTCCACGAACATTTCATTACGGTACGGGAAGTTCCAGCAATTTGCCTTAAGGCACGATGCCATAATTGCCTCAAGACAGAATTCCACTTACAGCTAGTTTATTATTTATTTATTTATTTATTTAAATATATAGCTAACAGATTTCTCCAAGAGTTTAGTTCCAACATTATAGTTGAATTTGTAAAATCCATCATCAATTTCTGAAAGCTTCTTTAAAAAATTATAAAAAAAAATTATTACCCTCATGGAAGATAGATTTTTTCGATACGGACAACTACGTAGCAAATTTGTAAATATCAATTAAAAATATATATTTTACCCCTAAAAATTCATTTTTACTTCTTTTGGGGAAATTTTCCCCGGTTTCCTAACCACTGGAATAGAGCATCATAGTAGAACTAGTGGTATATTGTGCAAATATATAAATATTATTATAGTGTAGAGTGGGGTTCGAAAATTTAAGATTTGAAAGGTTTAGTACCTTTATCCCAAAAACAAGTAAACAATGGCATTTTGTGTTGATACTATTTGAAAGTAGAGGGAAACGTGTAATGTGTGACCAGCCATATTTTCATTTAACAGAAGTATTTTTGTTGTTAGTATGAGTACTGTTATTTAGTTTACGATACCTAAGTTATAAAGTATACGTTATCTAATTGTTTTATTAGGTGTATTATTATTTTTTTTATTATTTTATTAACTTACCACACCCAAACGTCTATAAATGCATCCATTAAAACACATTAATTTTGGATTTTCTGCTGGATCTAAAAATAACAAAAAGTACATAATATGTCATTAATTGTTAATAAACAATTATATGTCTCATTTGAAATTAAACTGAATATTTTTTTGTAAAATTTAAAATAAAAAACTTTACTCACTGCCTTGTAATAACAGAGAAGGTATATTAAGATTTAATTCTCTGACGCAAAGTAAGAAAGCCTCATCTAGGTCATCTAATTCATCAATCTGAAATAAAAAATGGATTAATGATATATATATATATATATATATATATATATATATATATATATGGTATCCCAGAACTCAACCTAAATTAGAAAAAAATTATTTCAAGTTGTTTGTAAATTATGAGCTTCTTAGTGCAACCTAGGACTTTGGTGAAATTGAAGCTGTTTTTTTGGTCATTGTAGTTAACTTTTATTAATATTGTTCATTCAAAATTGAAAACTGTAACCCTAAATATTTTTTGAACCACAGACAAAAATAAAGACACAATTGCAGGAAGTTTTCTGCAATTAAGACTATTCGTTATATAATGATTTTATAAAATTCTTATAATTTGAAAAGCTTATTTGAAAAAAGTGTTTTAATAGGCAATAGGCAAGTTTCATCAAAAGTTTGTGCAATTAATCAGGATTGTAAAAGAGTAAAATACTTTAAAAAAACGATCAACATTTTTTGTGATAACTAGTTATAAACCAGAAAAAGTGTTTTAATATTTATGCTGAATAATGTAACTCAAGTACTTTATATTGAATAGAAGATTTCTATTAATCATATAACTTCAAAAGCTCGGTCATTCTTGACTAAGATTTTTTTTATTTATCAAGTTTTTAAAATACATAAAAACATTTAGTAATTATGAATGGCATTTTTTTTATTCATTCATATTATATAACAATCAGAGTCATTCACAGACCCTATGAGTTATATGATCACAGAAAGAAATAAAATAATAATAATAAACAAATAAATAAAATAGATTGAAAATAAAGAAAAAAAAAATAAGAAGAGACATGTTTTTGTAATAACACATTTACGACTAATATGATGAATATAAAATTATCACAAATTATTATATTATTTTATAGGTTTTAGTATAAATTAAAAATATCTATATATTGCATTAATACTGTTTTAAATATTAATTAATATTTTTTTACAAAATATTTACCGAATGAGAAGAATATGCAACTGTAACTACTGCCAAAAATATGGCTATTTTATACAAAAACATGTTTTAAGAAATTTTCAAAAAAACAAATATTATAGCAACAAATCACTAACAAACTGTAGAACTGGTCTCATTGTTTATTATTAAATTATGAATATCAACTTTGTCTTATCGATTCATTTTTATTTGTTATAAAAAAATGTTTTAGTATTTTGCATTTGCATTTCAAAAATCCACTCAACCATATTTATAGAGTTTTTTTTGATTGATAAAACTATGAAAGACTGAATATAAAATGGTAAAATATACAAGAATTTTTAAATAACTAATGGGGTAAAGTTCGAAATAATTAATTGTGATTAAATTATGAATAGGTATATTATATTTTTTGGCCTAAGCTCAAATTAAAAATTAAGAAACCACATTTAGATTTTTGTCTAGGTTCTATGTTACTTTATTAATAATAATAATTACTTACTTAATTAATGCTTAATTAATAATAATGAAGGTATTTAAACCGACGCTCATTTTTTGGTTGATTATTTATTGGGCCATATGAATAATTAAGGAATTATTCATAATTAATATTTGTGATGAATAATCACCGTAATAATTAATGCATTTAAAATATGTTAATAGATACATTGAAAATAGTTGATTGAAATATTTACAGAGAACGTTTTTATCACTAAAGTGCCGATAAAATCGCATTTATTTTATATGACAATTTCTATAACGAATACCCAATAATTTAAAATCTAATAATACGAGTATATTTCTTCTGAGATTAATATTATTTTTTAAATATGAACTAGCATCACATTACAAAATATCTATATTTTTACTCACCAATCTGTTTTTAATGAAATTATACCTTACATCATTACAAAATACAAAATTCTAAGAAACTTCGAAAAACAATTTCTGAAATAAACTGAATATAAAACAATTTCTGAAATTTTGTAAACAAAAAATTCTACTAATTTTCATCACATTTTATTATACTACTACATTTTATTATAATACTAAAAACAAGGTAGTAATTTCAAAAATTCATATATAGTTAACAAATAATTATAAATCATTTTACCAATAACAAAACGATACTTTAAAAAAAAATATTACTAACTTATACCTAAAAAAAATATATAAAAATTTAACAAAATAAAATTTTTTTTACCATTAATTGTATATTATCTTTGTGCTTTATTCGCCTTACCAATAATTTTTTTTAAACCATTTTTTATAATGAAAATTTAACGAGACCTTTGAGTTGCAGCGCAGACTTCTCAAACTTCGTGGATGTGTAGATGGCAACCCTAAGGTTGGCCCTTTAGAATAAATTTATCTTTTGGATAAATTTATTATTTTATATTTTCCTTTCTAAAGTGGAAATACAATTCCTTCAGCACCCATTGTAGTTATAATACAATCAAAAGCCTTGCTTCCTACTTCACAATCATCACTTCCAGAAATGGTGGAGCAGGAGGCTGCTGTAGATTTAGCCTAGATAAAAATAATTTTTTTTATTATAAATAAATAATGAATTAATCAATTAAACCTAAAGCCACCATGAACGTTGCTGTCGTTGCTGTATACATGTGCAAATGATTGCATGCGCAATCAGGCGTATTTTCATAGTGCACACAGATGACTCAAGTGTATGTAAAAAACATGTCAATAAGAAAATGTTAAGACATGACTTAAAAATATATATATTTTTTAACTTCCCAATAGGGCAAGTTATAGTAATCGCAAAAAAATCGAAAATGAAAATTTTTATATATCTTTACGTTTCAGAGGTTTCTGAACATTTTGGCATACCTTAGAAAAAATGGATGTATGTGTGTGTGTGTGTGTGTGTGTGTGTGTGTGTGTGTATGTATGTATGTGTGTGTATGTATGTGCGGATACAAATTTTCGTCGACGATTTCGGGAACACGGATCAACCGATTTGAATAATTTAAAAAACATCCGATCCGTATTGATAAGGAGACGTGCTGATTAGTTTTTGGCAAAGGCAGGTCAGGCCGTTCCGAAGATACGGGGCAAAAAGTTCCGAAAACGGTAACTCAGTTTTTAAGAGAACGGAGCGTCCGATTTTAATAATTCAAGAAACATTTTATTTGTATTGACAAGATGAAGAATCGATACAACTTTCATGAAGGTAGGTCCAGCGGTTTCGGAGATATAGAGAAAAAGTAAAAAAATGAGCCATTTGGCGGTCAAAAATGATCATTAGACATATGCACATCAAATAATCAGACATTTTATAGAGATTTTAACAATAAGTATACATTTTGTTAACATTCCTATCGGTTCCGTACCAATGCTTATGCGTTAGACAGCGACGCGGCGCTTACGCGCTTTATATTTTGTCCCTATGTAGTTAAAGCAGTACGATTGCTTTGAAAAAAAAGTTCAGATCTTCCACAATATGTCAAAATAAAGAAAAAAAAATTTTTTTTCAAAAAAAACAAATTTTTTTTAAAAAAAATTTTTTTTTAAAAATTTTTTTTTTTCAAAAAAAAACTAATTTTTTGTCCAATTTATAGTTTCTCAAAAATCTTATTTTTTCAAAGTAATTTTTTTTCAAAAATGTTAATCGTTTTAAAAAAAAAAAATTTTTGGTACGGGAAGTTCCAGCAAGTTTAATTTATATATTCACAGCATCAAAAGAAAATTCAAAGAGGGTTAATAGAAATGCTTTCAAATAAAGATATTTTTTTATAAATTTGAATTATGTATTCGCTATAAAGTAAAACGAAAATACATGTGCAAGTCATAGGTTGCGCAATTAAACAGTATTGTTTGTGACCGGCTTAAGAAATATACTAAATATTATAAATATATTATATTGGAAATATGTTTTTTCTGTTTTGTCCAATTTGGATTAAAACATTAAGAGTTTGTCCTAGGTTACTTGTACTTTAAGAATTATATTAAATATTAAAATTAAACTATCTTGAACAAATGGGTTTTCTGGTTGGTCTAATTTCAATAAAACATCTGGAGTTTGACCTAGCTCATTCTACTTAAATTTTATTATTTGACTACTTATTGTGGGACCTTTCAAGAATGTCTTAATTTGACAGATGATAATTCTAGAAGTATTAATATAATATATCAAAAATTGATAAAAATCAAATAAATTAATTTTTTACTTGATTTTTGCTTACCACTTCTATTTGAGGTGCTCCTTCTCCAAAAAGCATTGTAGCAGCTTTGATTAAACCATCAGAATTGAATTTGCTTCCATCAACCTTAAAGAAATAAATATAACTTTTTACTATCAATTATATTAATATAACATTTTATTTTATGACCCTTATTTTGGTCACACTTATTTCTTTCATATTGAGCTGAGGAGATAACATGGAGCAATTAAAATAATAGGTACAGAAAAGTTGTACTTATATATTTTAATGGGTGTAAAGTTGACCTTATGTTATTTTGACAATTGTGCTATTTGGATGTTAGTTTCAAACCTTTGACAGTATTAACCCTTTGCCCTCGCAAATCCCGAAATTAATATTATTTTGCCTCCAGAGCGGCGCCGTCCGAGTGGAAAGGGTTGAATAATAAATAATAGATTTTTGACAGTTTTGTGATTACTAACATATTAAGAGCCAACTCCAAGTAAATAAAATCAAAACAAAATAGGTGCACTGAGAATGCCAAGTCTTTAAGATGTTCTTTATAAAATTTTGGGGGGTTTGATAACATAGTTATGCTATCAAAGAATAGGTTCATTAGACATATATATATATATATATATATATATAAATAATTATGTTATCATATTCTTTCTACTCACAACTCCTAGAGCATCGCAAATGCATTTCCTCATACATTGGGCTCCTTTGGAACTGACATCACCAGCTCCTTTCATCGCAGTAATATCATCTAATAAAAAAATAATAATTATTTACAATTATTTCATCATATTATAGCAATCTTTTGAATAAAGATTCTGTTTAAAAATACTGAAAAATATGGTTAAATTCAAGTTTTTTTACCTGGTGTTGCACCTGTAGCTTCAGTACATTTTGCGACAACGTCTACAAAAGAGCTTTGGTTTCAGCTTCTGACATAGCAGCCTGAAAATAAAAAAAAATATAAAAATTCCAAATAAAACATACATTTTTTTAAATTATATATGATCTCTAAAGTTACTTCTAGATATAAAAGTTTCAAATAAACGACATTGAATTTGATTTTTTGTAATTTAGCAATAAATAGAAAACTCGGGACATTTTTTTTGGTTTTTAATAAATTACTTACAAACTTTATATAAGAGCACTCTTTTTGAGTTAGATAGGATAAAAATAGATCAAATTCACTACGATTGTAAAAGTTATATACTAACTACTTTTACCATACTAACTGTTATATACACTCCGATATAAAAGTTTTGAATAAAATGACTTTGAATTTGATTTTTCATAATTTAGCAATAAAAAGTAATTTCGGGACATTTTTTTGGTTTTCGTCAGCTTACAAATTTTACATGAGAGCTCTCTTTTTGAGTTATATAGGGAAAAAACCAGATAAAATTTACTACGTTTTGATGCCAACATTTATATACACTCCGATATAAAAGTTTCAAATAAAACGACTTTAAATTTGATTTTTATTATTACCTCAATATTTCCAATAGCTGCAACGACCACAAAACTAATAAATAAAATTTTCGACATTTTATTAAATTTTCTTAAATTTGTTTCAAATATAAATAGAATTAAATACAATTAATCTTGTTACTAAAACAATTTGAATATTTAGTGAATTTTATAATTCAGTATCGACTTATATAATCGATCTTGCTATGTTTATCCTTGGTCAATAAAGTGATGTAACAAATCTATTTTATCATGATTTTCGATAATTTTCAAATGATAATAATAATATATAGATTATTAACAACATTTACTTTATATTTAAAGCATTTATCATTTAAAAAAATAATTTTCTAACTATTTTTTATATAAAAAACTACTTTCCAAAACATTTGTTCTTCCTTCAACTAAACAACTATACAAATTTTTATAGTTATTTGTTAGTTGGATTTATTTTTAAAAATATATTGAATCCAAATCTTATAAAATGTTTGATATATATTATATACATATTGTTATTATTGCAACCATAATGCGATTTACCTAATTAAAAAAAACTGCATTTTTAATACACAATTATAAATGCTTAATTTTTTGTTATAATGAAGAATTTAATTCAAAACACAATACTTTCCATTCTTTAAACACTTTTTACATACTAATTATGCAATCAATATTTATAAAGGAAGAAATGTTAACCCAAAAAGATATGCTAATTTTATTTAATTTTTACTTTTAAAATATTTTCTAAAATTTTGTACATTTATCCATTACTTCGATTAATCGATTTTTAAATCTTCTAGTGTATTTATTTCGATTTCCGATAAAAATTCATCATCATCCTGTTATTATTCGATCAATATATAATTTTGTACGGAAGCTTCGGTGCGATACCAATAATTTGTCTACGAGAAACCAATATTTATTTAAAAACCTGTAATTTTCTTTTATTTTTTTGACAAAATTGATATTTTCCTTTCGTTTTGCGATTTTGTAGATCAGTGGAATTTGGGTATTTCAAGGTCTCAAAAAATACGGACATATATATAAATAATGTAAATTTGTAAAACTGTATTGTTTCTTAGTTTGGTTCGTAAAAGAATTATATATTGATTTTATATACATATATATTTTTGATAATTGGGATAAGAAGTAAAAGTCCAGTAAGTTTTGCGTTGATTTAATTCACTGAATTTTTTTAGAAAATATTAAAAACTTATTATATTTTCATTTCTTTTAATATTTTGATCAATTTATTCTATACCTGTTTTACTATTTTTAATCCTAAATGCAAAAGTTAAAGTATTAGATTATTAATGTATTAGAGTGGGTCTTGTAAAAATAATAAATAAATAATAAAAATATAGGTAATTAAAAAAAAAAAATCAAATCAAGGATCTATATTTTGCAACGATCGGTCCAGCCATTTCCTTATGATTATCAGTTATGTGCAAAATTATTTATCAAAGTTTTCATCAAATATCTTGTACCAGAAAATTTAAAAATTTCCGAATGATCTTGAGAAATATTCATTGTAGAAAACATACGATGTTTCCTAAAAGCTCAAAAGCTCGAAAACTTGTCCAATTTAAATTTACATTTCAAATGTACTATACATAACTCGAAATTTATTTTTAAATATATATTTAAAGTAAACACATAGTTAATGATTACATTAAGTTAATTATTATTTGAATATTTAATCATTGATTAAAGGAAATATTTCAAGATATATCGAAGATAATTATAACAGCACTAAAGCTTTATACAAAAAATACCGTTTTCCGATAATCTTAATTTTATTTCAACTTAATTTTAAACAAACTAACTTCACTAAATACTATTAAACTACCTTTAGTAAAAATTCTAACTAATTAATTATTTTAGAAATGTTTCTGCTATTTTTTTTCATTTTTGAATTTGTTTTTGATCACCATACGTATACTAAAAAGGGATAGCCACAGTGTAGAAATATCTATCATTTAATTTTGAAGTAAAACTTTTTTAGGCGGGACTAGGGAGCAAATCCGTACAAATGCAACGGAAGTCCGTTACGCCCGAACTGTTTATCATTCGCTCGCGATGAGATCATTTATATACAGGTCGATTGTGATTGGTTGACATGAAATTTATATTATTTATTTAATTATAGTGCAAAATAAAGCAAATGAAACATTTGTGCCGTGTAAGAAACGTCAGTTTATTGAATTAATTTTATATTATTCGTAGTTTCTATAAATCTTTGAAGTTAATAAAATAGAAAATATTTTTATATGCAAGACAGATAATACAAATGGTTTTACGAATTAATAGCCACATTATTTAATCAATGCAATTCAGTCTAATTATTGGGTTGAAAAATAAAATAAAAAATTAGAGTCTAAATATGTAAATCTTGTTATACATAAGGGATGTTCTCACCAACTTTTACTACAATCCTAAATCTAGCTTTAGTAGATAAACCGGTTTCAATTATCATAATCAAACTAACTGATTTTAGAAATACAATTATCTCAAATAATGTGAATAAAACTTCTGTTTGAAATACATATTTTATGGGCACATTTTTTAACAAAGATCATTCTGCATACAACTTTCGTATGGAACTTCGGCAGAAGAATTATTCATCATAATAAAGAATAACTTTTAATATAATTTCTCATAAAATTGACTTTTAAATTAATTTACTTTTTTATTTACTAGTTTTTTATTATTTACACCTCGCCAGAATAAAAATTCAGGTGATCCCTACCTTAACCAAATGTAAGCTATTCAAGAAATTATATAAAAAACCTGTTGGATTTAACTTGAAAATAATAATATTTTCATAAAGCAATGAAAAAACGTACCAGAGTTAAAATTTATATTGAAGTATTTTTAATAAACAACTTTTGTTAAAAAAATTATCGATGTGGCATTTTATCTCCTGAAGTCGCTTTAAAGTGATGACTAGTTCACATCTTTATCCATTTATTTTTATTTAAGTATTGTTAAAAAACAGCATAGTTTACTTATTTTAGGATAATGGAGCTGAAGCTTTTTACTTTACTCCATATGAAATAATAAAATAAAAATTCCTGTATTATTATTGCACAAACACATATATTAATTTTATTTACAACATTTGATAATTTTTTTCTTACATCTATTACATCTGTAAATGACAACATATTATCAAGTGCAAGGACAAAAGATTTTCATTCTTCCAATTATTAAATCAAGCCATTTTTAGTTTTCAATTAATTTTTTTCTTATTAAACCGGAATTTCAAATCCTGCCGCCTTTATTTTGGGCAATTCGCATGCAATTGCACTTGCTGCAACTTCACATTCGTCGGATCCGGAAACTTCTGCATCACAAGCCATTGATATTTCTTTTATCTGAAACAAAATAAAAATGAAAATAGAAAAAAGGAAAATATCTCTTTTAATACTAATCAGAACTATATTTTCTACTGGCTGTCTGTGTTTGCCATAGTTTATCGAAACCTAGTATTTTTCTGGAGAGGGCAAACCAGTGGTCAACTACTCTTCTTTTTTGTGTAGACTATATATATATATATATATATATATATATTAGAAATTATTATGTATTAAGTTTTGGCGTATACATATATGTTGCAGCAATGCCCACGATTGGAAAATATTTTTAATACCGAGTGCAGTTAACGGAGAGGAAAAAAGGTATAACCATGGTATAACCTCTGAATTTTTTTACTGTGCTCCAATTTGCATGAATTTTGGAATTTGGTTCATCTTTCCCTCAAGTCCAAAAGTGAAAATAATTTGGACACTGCCGATTTTTAACGGTCAACCATTCTTAACTCAATCGTACAGTTTCCTTATACTATATATGATTATGAAATAATTTTGGAGAATGTGTATATGTTTATTCACTTAAGTGTGTGGTTTATAACTTTGACTGAAAATTTGATAACATACTGCCTGATATCAAGCTGGCTAGTTTGTACTAGCTCATCTTTCTAAGTATCAATATAATTTTACCTTTTCAAATTGAGGAGATCCTTCATCGTACACCATTTTGCCTGCATTTAATAATCCTTCAGCACTGTATTTACCACCTTTAATCTATTACAAAAAAATTAACATTTATTATTAATATATCTTCATATAAATTTTTTAAATAAATTATTATTTTAAATTATAAAATTATTGTTTTTCTTACTATTCCGACGCCTTTGTATATACAAGCTGCCAAACATTTTGTTCCTCGCATTTCTGGAACTTCGTGGGATTTTAATTCTGCAATTTCCTCTGCAAAAAATAACAAAAATATTAACAAATTATATCAAATATTTTAATGACCATAAACTTTAAGTATTTGAAACAAAACTCATAAAATATAATTTTATGTAAAGAATTTTTGGTAAAATAACTTATGATTCAAAAATGTCGATTTATTAACATATTTTTATCTATTACAATTTTTTTTCTTTAAATAGAAATTTAGTCTCTGGATTCAAGTACTACGTTTGAATCTGCAGAATTATTATAAATTTACTAATATGTTATAATAAAAGTTAATATAAATAAATAGTTATAACACTTGTACAATGCTATTATAATAATATAAAAAATAAATAGTTGCAATACTACAATTTAAATCTAGTGCTAAGATATTGATTTGAAACCAGACTACTTTGCAAATTCTGTTATAATAATAAAAAAATAATTAATTTGTCATAGGTGTTAGCAAACTTACATAACAATTTTGTTTTAATTATATCTAAATTACAATCTGTATAAATAAGACATTTAGTAATTAACCTGAGATTTAATAAAGGTATAATTTTTAGAGAACTACCCATTAGTACTTTTTTTATTTATGAAAAATTTCTAATTTATGAAAAAACTTACATAATGATTAATTTCTGAATTTTTGACAATTTACAAATTTTAATTTTATTATTACCTGGAGTTGCTCCGGTTTCAGCTGCACAATTTTTTGCCATTTCCATAAAAGTTGCTTTGGCTTCTTCTATAGTCATTTTACCCTGGATAAACATATAAATATGTATATTTTTAATAGTAATAAATCGAAGACAATTTTTATTAACATCATAAACAAATCTCTGATGTCTCTGATGAAATTACGCCCAAAATTTATATATTAAATTATATAGTTCCAAAAATGTTCATACATCATTAATCTAAACAAATTCTTTAAAAAAATTAAATTTTGTGAAAACTATACAAAACATAGATAATATGTATAGCAATTATTT